TTTTTTTAGCTTTAAGCCTCCACTGTGATCTTGAGCTTGCTTGTATGAGGAACGATCGAGTTGCTTTAAGAGTCGTGGTTTCATATATACATATATATATATATGTACACATACAGATGTGTGTGTGCCGTATATGTACTTATACTCGTATGTAGGTACATATTGTTTTCTTTGCGAGGCATTTGTGGTTATTTTCTTAAGATAATATTTTTCTGATTGAAGGAAATATAAAATAAAAATGGCGAATAAGTGCTGTATTTCTTTCGTGATTAAACATTTTTATGGCAAGTTGTACTTTGTACCAAAGTCAAGCCTCAAATATCATGATAAAGACAATATGCTTTTTTACCTAACAAAATTTAGTAAAAAACTATAAAAAAGAGGCATAGAAACCAACTATTCTCTACAAATTTGAAGCGCTGTAATTTTTTATTTTTGCTAAAACTTTTATACTAAAAAAGGATTTTAAAACCATGCAATTTTATATCACTATCCAAGCTTGACTATTATTTCGGTATGAACCTGGGAAAATTATACAATATCCCAAAAATCATTGTAAAGGAAAATTATTTATTCTTATGTTGGTTGTTGGTATTTCCGATAGAGTAGGTGTATGATGTATTGTGGAACCATTTTTGCGTAATTTTTTTTTAAATCTAGTTTGGAGACAAACCCTTTTCGGCGTTGTACTCTCTCCAGTGTAATTTTTTGTTCAGAATAATTTCTGTTTTTGAGTCAATATTTATAGTCCTGTTTCTTAGTCAAGCACGGCTAAGGGGATTCTTTTTTTAGTCTAAACGGTAGTTTGTTTTATGGTGTGCATCCTCAGGTATGTAGAAATGAACTGCCTACATGTTCCTGATTATTATGGTCTGGATCCGCAGATAGGTAATAAATCAGTTTTCTTCCTCTTAGTTTCTACTTTTGGTGTCTGGGTTCGCTTGTTTATGGTAGTCGTGGCGGCAGGGCTTCTGTTCTGATTCGCGTCTAGTTTGCTGAGTCGTTCAAACAATATGTACATACATATATCATATGCGGTGTATATTTGCTCGTTTATAATTTTTTTCACGAAAGTGTTTTGTTTGTATATCCCTATATTCTGTAACATGCTTAGGCGTTGTCCTTTATGTGTACATGGAGACTTCCTATTTTCATTGGTATATATTTGTGCTGTTCTTGGAGACTTTTGGCTATCATTCCTATTTTAATTACTGTACAGTTGCTTTCTGCCAAATGGTTTGCGAAGTTCGTTTCCGGTGTGGTAAATAGTTTTGGCTTTTTTTCATTATAGTCCCTTATAATTTCACGATATGTTGTTTTTATCTTGCGCCCTGTTTGTCCTATTGACATTCGTAAGCCAGCTCTCATACACCTTGCCTGTATAGTGGGTGTTCTTCGTTTGTGCTGTTTTGCACCATTCTTCTTACGTTAATCCTCGTTTTAAATGCTGTTTTAATATTATATATTTCAAATGAATTTTTCAATTTGTATGATGTTTTTCCCTTATAGGTAGGACTACCAAAGTCTTTTCATTGTTTCCCTTCTTATTTGAATTCTATGTTTTGCGTCACTTCTTGTTTTGTTTTCGAGGCTTTTTTTGTATACGTTGTTTTCCAGGATAGCATATACTGTATTAATTTCTTTGCTGTAAGCTTTTTATTCTAGTGGAAAATTATATATTTCCTCAAAACAATTGGCTCGTTTTTATATATAATATGAGAGGATTACCCACTTGTTTTTATTTGGTTTAAGTACTTTTTTAAGTATCGAAGATTGCAACAAATGACGGAAAAAAGATTTTCATTGCGCCGAAAATAAATTTAAACAAATAAAATCGCTGAGCCCACTTTGAAATAGAGTCCCCTTTGGAGAGCCTGGAGTCCTCCACTTTTATAAGGCCCTGTCTCCACAGGAAAACACTGATGTCGTGATAACTATGTCACAAAATATATTTCCAATGGAGACCGCCTATTTCTCATGTGCTGCAATATATGTCAGCGCTTATTGCTTGACATCTATTGCAGGCAATTCGATAGTTTGACAGCCATATTTTCATTTGAAAGAAAGCGTGCTGGTGGTAACATCGATGCAATTTTTATATTAAATCAAAATAAAAGTTTGTTCCTTATTGGATTATTTATGATTACGTTTTACGAAATTATTCAGCAAGTTTTTAAATATTTAAATGTTTTTAAACACCGAAATTGAAAGAATGTTGTCTGATGGCGTCATGCGGCAAATGCTTATTTCAAGACATCAAAGTGCCCACACACAAAAACTTGCAATCACATTGCTCGTCAAAATGACAGTTGGTAGGCCATCGGTATTTGCCTGTGGAGTTCTGCGGTAATGTAGCCACTTTTAGGTGCAAGAGCCTTCTAGCTTTTAATATATTTAGTATTAAATTTTTTTAGTTTTTTAGTAAACAACACTATTCATTAATCAAATCAACACAACCAGGACGTTGAAAGCACTTCATATCAGTGTAAATTGTAAGTTCATTTTAATTTGTTAACTGTTTTCCTTAGAAACTCACTTATAGGGTTATGTATTTATTTACATGCTATTTTGTTTAATTATTTCACATTTTTCGTCATGGCGGCTGGCACATTGATATAAAATGTATTGCAAAAAAAAAAGAAAAATATGAGAACTTCAATGTAAACAAATTACGTTAACTTTTACTTTTCTTCATTAGTTTGAAAATTATGGTGAGTAGGGGGTTTCATGCCTCCAATAAGAAATTGTTTTCACAGAAGGTGTTCTCGTAGCAATGCTAGGTTAGCGTAGTAGAAGTTGGACTGATAAGAGCATTTTTTTGAGTCGTGGCCGAAGATCGCCTACAGGGAAAAAAGTTTTACTTAAGGCCGGTTTTCACTATGTCATATTTTGACAATATATTTTGACAATATATTTTGACACAACTTTATATCCTTTTCCCATACGTTTACCGATTATATTATGAGCCAATTTAGGACACGTAGCCAATTTATCGGCACATATACGCAACTGAAGACCTATTTTGATCTAAATCAATCGATAAACCGTTTTTAGTTCCATTCGACAACGTGTTTTCACCTATTTAATGAAAAATTCCATATAATTTAACAGAGTGAAAACCAGCCTTTAGAATGGTGGTCTACACAGAAATACTAAGGTCAGTGTAGTGGAGCTGAACTGATGGTTTTTTTTTTTTTTTGAAGAGCGCCCGCAGAAAAAATGTCTACTTGGAAAAGGTGCTCCACGCGGAAATTCTGCGAAAATTCTGAAAAAAACTGTAATATTAGAAGTCTTAAAAACCAGCACCAAAAAGATTTTTAATAAAGCAAGCCCCAAGCGTTCCAGCAATACAAATTTTACCAAAACCGGGGGTCTTCAAATCAAGGTTTTCCGAAATTGAATCTAATGTTAAGTTTTTTAGTAGCCAAACGGTTGGTATTCTAGACTTATAAATACCGACAATTTTCATAGTTTTTTTTTAATTTTTCCTTAATATTTTCCACTTTATACAAATCGTTAGTTGATATTTTCGATAGCTGTTTCAATTTTTATTAGCACTTATACCTATAATAATATGCCTTTTATTTTTTAATAACTTCCTTTTAGAAAGCATATGCATGTATACAGTTACAGGAATAATTGACTTATTTATATTATAGAATTTTTAATAAGTTTCAGTTCTTTATTAATCGCTTGATTTAAATTTCGTATTAAATTCACTTATTTATATATAGATTAAACCGCCTTTTCTGTTTTCATAATCTCACACTCGTTTTGATAAGCAATGAATTTAGTTAATTCAACTCAAACTAACTGCGATAACTTGACAACTACACGAATTCAATATCCGATTTCACCATCCCTAATCAAGTTTTATCAGGCATCAAGCGATGATGAAGTGCCATGACTAAGGCCAGCGTGTCCGAAAGGTCGTTAAGAGGGCAGAAAGTACTTACTTACGCACATTCGGCAAACGCAGGTGGAATCGATTACAACAAAAAAATTCAAATACAAACCAACCAAATGAATAACACGTGATAAAAACTCATTGAGAAGTGTTTTTTCACATTAACAACTACATAAATAAAAACTATAAACGATTTTTTTTTGCTATGAAAGAAATGGACGAATTCCCAACTTGAACGAAAATGGTTGGTACATATGTACTAAGTATGTACATATGTGCAAATAACACACAGACAGCAAAGGGATGTTTGCGAACAAAAAAAAAAACAAATGTGACGTAGTTCATACGCAATTTCACTGGCAAACACGCACACGCAGCAAACAACACACAATACATACGCAGCACCGGTCGACAACTTTTTACAAAATGTCGTCTGCGAAGCTTAAAAGCATTAATTTAACTTAAATAGACGAGAGCTATAAAATAGCGGATGCTAATTTTTTCTTGTAAGTGGAATTTGTATTTTGTAATAAATACTAATTTTGCACCACCAGTTTAAACTTGTTTTCACATGATTAGGTATTGTGTTTTTTTTTTGTTTTGCAACAACACAGTTGTCTCACAAATTTTCCCATTGCCACTTCAATATATCCTTCACCTCACCACTTCACTTACTTTGAGCATAAGCCTTTTGTTACTTTGCGAAATGTGACAATTCGATTTACATTCCTTTCCAACGCACTACTATAACTTTTTGTTTTGTTTTGTTTTCTCTCTCGATATCTTGCGATATATATATATATAACTTTTAAGAACTTTGTTACTGCAATTTCAATTTGGCGTTTCAACGCAAACACAATAAATAAACTATTCCAAACGGAAGCGAACTTTACACACACTTGCAACTTGTCGAAATAGCGGTCACAATTGAACTGAGAAGAGCTGGACGCCAGCAAGCACATCAAGGCGGGCGGCCAGCAATAGCACCAGCACACGAAGTCAGAATCAACGGCGAATTAAATATGGAAGTACGAATACACACGTTCGTATGTGTAGCCAATTCCCCACCAACAACTTTAAGGTACTTTAACCAGCAAACAAGCCAGCTACGACGCTTTTCGTCACGCTGTAAAGGCAAATAAAAACAATTTGTATATAGCAAAGCGAATGTGGGAATGTGTATGTGTGTGTGAGTGGTATTTTCCTATTTTTTGTTGTTGCTGGGAGCAATTTAGTGGAGCACTGCGCAAGTGCGCTCTCACATTCGTACATAAGTACGTTTGTATTTGTATGCCTCCCAAAAGTCGCCAGGCGGCGCTCCCACTCAGCGTTTCGAAAATTCACTTAAATGCAGCGCTGCCATATTTCAGTTTTTTTAGAAACGCTTGGAGTCGATGGTGCCGTTCTTGCTTTTTTCTACCAAAATTAGTAAGATGTTTACTGCTTGGTGGGCAGGTTGTTTGAAAAAAATGTTGGTGGATTTTAGGTAAGCAGTCTCTAGTCACTAAGTAATAGAGTCTTTTAGTGGTGAAAATCGATTTTGAGCCGATTTAGTATTCAATAAGTTGTCTCACGCCTCTAGTTTTAAAAAAATTTCAATGATTTGTCAGGGGCTCTGAGCAGGTCACATAAAGCAAAAATATGGAGCAAACGATAATTGTTTTCTATTTTACTCAAAAAAAATCGAGCAAATTAAGCGAAAAAGTATTTGTTTAAAAACAATTTCATTACAAAATAAACCTACAACTTTAATACATATAAATATTAAATGAAATTTAGAAAGAAACTATTTTTAAAGTCATAAAATCCGAGATAAAAATATAGTAAGCTAGAACCGCTGAGAAACACTTTTAGCATTTTTGACGTTTGCAAGTAATTTAATTTTAAAATTTGAAACGCACACTCACACACACATTCTGGTTTTCAATCCTAAACAACCACAATTTTGAAAAATGTTTTCTTTTTATTCTCAAAGAGAGAGGTAAATTAAAAAGGAAAACAAGTAAAGAAGTATAACAAAAAAAAAGTTTCTGCATATTGAACCAAACCTCTACATCCCTTTGTTATTCGGTACGCTGAACGCGAGACCGAGGTCTGTTAGCCTCTATCGCGTCAGGTTCGAGGTCATTTGAAGGTCAAGTAGGAAAAAATTCATTGAATAAACCTGAAAATATAATACAGGACGGATAGTCACCGTAGCTATCAGCTGACTGTATCTGTTTGTTTTCACTACACATTTTTTGGTGAACTTTTTATGACTTCCTCTTACTGAATACCCAATCGCCTCAAACCACAAAAAGTCTTAAGTTTAGTGACTTGAGATGAGATTGACTTACTGAATATTAGCATTAGTCGCAACTAGAAATAAGAACATATTGACGGTATTTAACGTGGCGACAAATTTTTTCATTATTTTAGCTATATTGACAAAGTTTTGGCATGGTAGTGTGTTTATCGAAGTACGCCGATGATTTTTTCGGTTCGAGACCCTGGACACAAACAGCCGACGAGCGCCTCAAACGGACCGCAAATGCTTCAAAAGACCGAACACAGCGGCAGCGCAGTGGTCTAATCTGTCCCGTGGCTTGTCTCATACTTTTCATACTTTTTTAAGTTTGACTAGATCTACGAAATTGGTTAGGTCTATTCTTTCTATAAAGGGGGCCCACTGTGTTGGTCTTTCTCTCTTTCTTTGAGAAAAATTTTGATTTTGGACGGTGTTAACAGTAACTAATTTTTTAAACTACTTCCCAGTACAAACGAATAAATTTAATTATCACTTTCGGCTTTTTTTGGAAGTACATTTTTAAGCTAAAGAGGGGGCGAGTCTTTTCTGTGTATACCTCTCCCTTCCTTCACGACCAAAATAATAATACCTAATAATAATAACAATGCCTCAAAACCCCATTATATAGTCACTACAATTAAGGATATAAAAATAAGACGGTGAACGCAAAAAAATATAAAAAATGGGCTGGTCCCAAATACATGACCACAGTATTTTGTGCAGAACACCTTTCTTAATTTTTCTAAAATCCCTTCGTTTTTTAAAGATACAGTTTTTTTATTGAAAATGCAGTTTTTTCATGTGAATTCAGTTTTTTGAAAAGAAATCTGGCAACACCGCAACACACACACATACATGTACATTCATGCATACTACAAATGTGCAAATATTTGTGCAAGAAGGGGAGCACGAGCAAGCGCGGCAGCCGGCTACATTTGGAATTTGGAACACAGTGGGAGAGCGAGCTGTGCATTGTTTGAATTTTTGAAATTGAATTGTAAGAAAAGTAAGAAAAGAAACAAAAACAATGAGCCATTGCCGCAAACAATTGGGAAAATATCAAATCAAAAGCAATGGAGAAGTGTATACAAAAAGTCACAAATTTACAAATACCAAACCAAGCTCAGAAATACATACACACAAACATATATATGAACATACATACTTACTATCGCATTATAAGATAAACCCGCATTGTATGTACAAATGTATATCGTGACAAGCCAACTAAATAAGATAAAATTCTTACTCAAGCCAGGTTGAGAACAGTTTGCTTTGGCCAGTGAAGTGTAGAGAAGAAAAGTCAGAGAATCAGTAAGCCGCTTAAACGTGTTTTATGCACACAATTATTCACTTATGTACATATGTACATTCCTAATTTTACATGACGGTGGTGAGGTAGCGAAGGCACAACATCAACTGCACATATGTATGTACTAGAGATAGGCGCGAGATATGGGGGCGCGCGGGACCCACTGTACTGATTTCGAATTGGCCGGGATAAACGGTAGCGGGAAGGTCTCTAAAAATTTTCCGGGCGGGACTTGACCAAAATCCGTTCCCGACACTCCCGATAAAAGCAAAACCTCCGCAAATTCAGAAAATCTTCCTTAAAAGCGACGTATGAAATATGCACTTTTTTATGTTTTATTAAAACGAAAACTAACAGCAATGCAAAACACAACAAACGGAAGATGACAGGTCTTTCATTATTTTTTTTTATATTTAAAATTAATTTAAAACACATGTGGACCGCGGTACAATTCGGAAAAACGTCGGGATGGGCGGGTTCGGGACTTAAAAATTGAATTTCGGGATGGTCGGGATCGGGTAATAAATAGTTAGTCCCGTGCTCATCTCTAGTATGTACATATGTGACCATCCTATCAGCCATCAGTGAAGTTGTCAGCTCTCGCTCAATTCGCCTTGCTCTCCGTTTCCATTACTGCTGTACCTATGTACCTTTGTATTTTTCCCTCGAACCACTTCCGCTCTAAATATTTGATGTCGCCAACAAAACCAGTCGCAACAACTTATAGCACCGACTAACGAACTCATTATGATTGTTGCACAGTGGGTAGGCAACGCAAATGTGCAGTATACAATTAATAGTAGGATCATAAAAATAAGTGTTCATTTTAAAGATAAAGCTTCGTTTCTGGCAACACAGCACGTGATAATGTTCAGTTTCTCTTTAAGGAGATTAATTAGAAGCCTGTATACATATCTTCAAATTGTAACCCCTAACAACGCCACCCTGGTAACACGTGAAACGATGATGCAAATAAACTTGTCAAGGAACTCGCTCTTTCGGAAATCGCGTCAATAAAACATGTTACAATTTTTCTATTAGAGCAAAAGGTGGAGCACGGACTGCACAGAATTCTCTGACCAATTATAAAGTTTACAGGCGATGCGGAACGAATGAGGAGGAGGCTGTAAAGCGGATATTTGGTGTATGTCTGGCTCTGGATCAGCCTGTTGCGAGTAGATTCTCTCGAGTCATTCCGGTACGTAGAGCCTTCTGTCTTGATCATTTAAATAGACACTTATTGGCTCAAGAGCCACCTACCACGTCAGATGGTATCTCTACTTAAGTGCTAGACTTACCAACCACTGTACCGGTGTTGTAACGACCACCCTTCATAGACGAAAACCTTCAGCAGCCTTGCAAGACCTCGCGCCATAGATACGCAGGTCCTTGGGCCCTGAAACAGACTTTACCGCTACTCATTCAGACTTGACTTCGACCTACTCAACCCATATCCGATTTGTGACGGTACCAACCACCTCTTCACTTACCCCTTCAAACCCACTCAGCTAACAACCATCTGCTTTTGGTTCGATGCCATGGAGACAGCACGTTTCTTGGTCCTACTCTTAGTTGAGCTTAACGAAAACGACCGATAGACTAGCCAAATGCAAGAACGACAGCTACCAAAAGGCGGCAACACAAAGCTGTTCCAACAGGACTGCGATAGTCTTCAATATTGGTCCTGGAAATGCTATGAAACTCAATGGTCTGTGCGAATCTACGCAATGACTAGCAGGCCTAACATAATCTAATCTACTTATTTTTTCGTTACGTATTCTCTAGTTGGTGCCAATAGTGCATAAATTTAACCGTTTGATGGAGTTTCAGTTTATTTTAATTTTTAGAAACAAAATTAGAAAAAAAAATTATTGAGAATGTTAAAAGTTGTCGTCTCAGAACTATAAAAATATTTGTTTTGAAACAATTTTAATTAGAGCTTATCATCTGCTGAGTGGACGACCGACCTATTTCAACAAATGGTTGAAGAACGTTCTATCTCAGAATTTGGTCCAAAAATGCCCTATCTCAACTGAAAGTTTATTGAAAATATCTTCAGATGGCGACGTTTTTGAAGCGGCGGATGAGATAGGGTATTTTTGAAACAAATTCTGAAATATTGCGTTCTTCAACCATTTGCTGGGATAGGGCAGTCATCCATCTAGGCGACAATATGTGAGTCAAAGGTTCATTATAACTAAAGCTATTGGTCGACCCCATACTGGTTTTTTTTTTTTATTTCGGTTGGCAGCATGAGACTTGATTAGTGTTTAGCCTAACTCTTCTTCCAATTTGTAGTGTATGCTTTGACGGTATCACACAAATGCGAACGTGAGATAGTTTTTTATTAAACAATTTTTCA